AAATGGTAGGAAGTCACTCCAGCCTGGGGAGGAAAGTCTGTTTATTAGCAACGGTCACACACAAAGAGGAGCGGGGTTGGGGTGGGCTTGTTGGAAAAACCTTGAATCTGGACTCAGAGAGACCCAAGTGTTGAATCCTGACTGTGTAACCCTGGTAAGCCTCAGTTTGTCATCTTGAAAATGGGAATGATAATACCTGATTTACAAAACAGAATTCAATGAATGTGAATTCACACAATTCTTGCTGACATAAATGCAAAAAAGTTGGCTGGGGACAGTGGCTCACGCCTGTAATCCCAGCACTTTGGGAGACTGAGGCAAGTGGGTCTCTTGAGGCCAGGAGGTCAAAACCACCCTGGCCAATATGGCAAAACCCCGTCTCTACTAAAAATACAAAAATCAGCTGGGTGTGGTGGCACACGCTTGTAATCCCAGCTACTCAGAAGGCTGAGGCACAAGAATTGCTTGAACCTGGGAGGCGAAGTTTGCTGCATTTCAGCCCGGAGCAAGACTCTGTTTAAAAAAGAAAAAAAAGGCTGGGTGCAGTGGCTCATGCCTGTAATCCCAGCACTCTGGGAGGCAGAGGTGGGCGGATCATGAGTTCAGGAGATCGAGACCATCCTGGTCATGGTGAAACCCCATCTTTACTAAAATACAAAAAATTAGCCAGGTGTGGTGGCATGCGCCTGTAGTCCCAGCTACTCAGGATGCTGAGGCAGGGGAATCATTTAAATCCGGGAGATGGAGGTTGCAGTGAGCCGAGATTGTGCCACTGCACTCCAGCCTGGCAGAAGAGCAAGAATTTGTCTCAAAAAAAAAAAAAAAAAAATGTTGCTGTAAGCTCTGACTGTGCCATGAACGGCATGGTAATCTCCGAGACCTGCATGTACACCCCAGATGAGTTCCTGGAAGAAACGATCAATGCCTGCGGCGCCTAACTAACTTGAGACATTCTTCTATTGTTTCTTATTCCGGCCTCAACTGACAAGGCCATTGGGCTTTGTGACCGACCTTAGTGAACCTCATGACTCCACACCCTATGACCCCCTCCCAGCTTGCAAAAAACCAACAACTGTAACTTCTGTAACTTTCCACTGTTCACCCCAAACCTATAAAACCAACTCCTACCCCTCCACCCTCTGCTGATGCCCTTTTCAGCCTCAGCCCGCCAGCACCCAGGTGAATAATGAGCCATGTTGCTCACACAAAGCCTGTTTGGGTGGTCTCTTCATTCAGCGTTCGCATTTTAACAGTTACACTGAGCTGCATTAGTAGAAAAATACCAGCAGCAGCATTAAAAGGAGAATTTTGTAGAAGTCCTCAGCCTTCCGAGTCGGGTAACCGAGAGAAAGGTTAAGCGTGCAGCTCTGGAGTCACGCAGACCTGGATTCAACTCTTGGCTCTGGTAGTTACATATGCTCAGGGTGGGTGTGTGACCTAGGGTGACCTCTCTGAGTCACAGTGTCTTCATTAGGATCATGGTGACAATACACCTACCTATAGAGTCATGAGGAGTAAATGACACTACAATACAATGCTGGGCTGACGGCCCCAATGCTCCTGGGCTCTGGAAATGCACAGTCACCTCTGTTAGTCACCTTGTTCCATCAAGCAGCATTTTTTCCTCTTGAATTACCACTACTTACTCTAAACTGGATTTTTCTCCCCTCTTCCTACAAGTACCCTCAGAAGCTTTCTACAAGCATGCCCCAGACTTTACTAACTGCAGGCCACCTGCCCGATTTCTGCCACCAGTGCCTGCCTCCTCCATTGTTACTTATTTAATATTTCTTCATATTAACTTTTAATACTTAAATGCATTTAAAGAAAACTTCACTATTATAAGCAAATATCGAATAGATCTTTAAACAGAATGCCTATGAAACACCTAAAATCCTCATATGTGCTCTCAGACACATTCTGCTTGGGGAAATACTGGTCTGGTCCTTTGCTCTTTAAAGTGTGGTCTCTGGACTGCAGCCTCAGCATGCTTAAGAATTGTTAGAAATCCAGGCTCTGACTGCGCACAGTGGCTCTCGCCTGTAATCCCAGCACTTTGGGAGGCCAAGGTGCGTGGAATTCCTGAGGTCTGGAGTTCAAGACCAGCCTGGCCAACATGGTGAAACCCCCTCTCCACTAAAAATACAAAAATTAGCTGGGCATGGTAGCACATGCCTGTTATCCCACCTACTCGGGAGACTGAGGCAGGAGAATTTCTTGAGCCCGGGAGATGGAGGTTGCAGTGAGCTGAGATCATGCCACCACACTCCAGCCTGGCCGACAGAGTGAGACTTTGTCTCTAAAATAAAATAAAATAAAATAAGTGTGGGATCTCAGACCCCATCCCATTACTCCTGAATTAGAATCTGCACTTTTAGAAGATCCCCAATGATGGACATACCTTTTTGGAGGGAATTTATTACGTTTTTCATTGAAGTAACATTTATATGTATACTTTTAAGGATTGAGAAGCAGTGGTCTAGGGGATCTTTAAAATTCCTTCCAACTCTGGTGTGTGCCTATAGCCCAGTGACTTACAAGTATGGAGCAGGAAGATTGCTTGAACCGAGGAGTTTGAGGCCAGACTGGGCAACATAGCAAGACTCTGTCTCTAAAAAAAAATTCTTCCAGCCCTGACAACAAATGTCAGCTATTCATTTTACTCTCTCTCTCTCTCTCTCTTCCTGAAATCCAGGTCCATATTTCCAACTGACATATTTTACTTCAGGCCTAAACCCTGGCTTTTCCCTGCCTCCTCATCCTTGTAACCTTAGAAGCATCCGTCATTAACTCCTTCCTCCCTGTTCACTGACATCAGTTCTTGCCAAGGATGCCCAACCCTGTCTCCATCAGCCTCTTTCTGTCCATTCCTATAGCTCCACTTGCACTTCTGTGCAAGTGGCTTAGTGCCTGGGCTGTCACCCTCTCCTTCATTCTCTTTCCTCCATCTCTTGATAGCTCTGTGTTCTTACAGCAGTGTTGGTGGTCTCAGTCCACTGCTCAGCAACCCTTAGTGATTTCCTACTACCTACCACATAGTAGCCAGGCTCCTTGGTCTGACACTTAAGGCTCTCCACTAAGTGACTGATGGTGAGCTCTCACCTGCATATACCCTGAGCTGTAGATAAGTCAGAGGAGCCATTGCTTTATGTATGCAAAGCTTTCCAGCCCCTGCGTCCTTGACTAAGCTTTCTTATTTCTGAAATGCATTTTCTCCGACCTTCCTATTTCCTATCTCCATCTCTGAAAACTCAACAGCCTGAGACCCCTGCTCATGTTTCATCCTCTCCCCGAAGCCTTCTGTGGCTCCCCAACTGCATAGCTGTCCTTACTCATCATAGCATGGTGACAACCTCTGGCAGTTATATTATTACAACTCTTAGCTCTTCAAATCTGTGTAGCAGGTGCCACTCTCAGTGCCACAAAGTCAATTTAATTTTCTTTAACTCAGTTTCTTTTCTGAGCTCCCCCTGCTTGTGACTATACCATCCCATTCCCCACCCCGGACACCTTGCCCCATTGCCCCATTGCCCCAGGGCAGCATCTAAATTCTAGAGGATTAGGGCCAAGGCGGGATGGGATCTGGTCCTCAGGTGTCATCTGTCTATTTGCTAGAACCTATGTCATCCTATCCAGTCTGTAGGCAGGGGGACTGGACAGGATGCTTCCTTGTCCCTTGTTTCCCTCTGCAAGCCCTCATTAGGTCCTGCAACTCTGCTCTTCATGCGTTGTTGTCTCCCTTAGGTCCATGGGACCCTTCTTCTGCCCCACACCATGCTGGGGGCAAGGGAACTCTACATGGTTGCCTAACCACCCAGATGCCTTAATACAGTCCTGCTTCTCTGAGGTCTTGACAGTTCCCCCAGGTATGGGTCACCTAGGCTCTCACAGCTTCCAAACATGTCTGGAATTTTTGCTGTTTCCCCCTCCCTTGGAGTTCATCCTGTTTGGAGGTTAGGTGGGAGACTTTTATCTCCTGTGGGGTCAGGAAGCCTTGTTCTTATATTGTCATGTATTTTTCCCCAAAGTGTTAATTACCAGAGTCCATTCCATTCCCAACAGGGTGTAGACTTTGAAGCTCAAAAGAAATTTTCTTCCTGCCTGTCATCCCTTCCTTCCCTAAGGCAAGAAACACAAACTAGTCCTGCTGACCAAATACGGCAAGGGCCATGGAAACCTGGAGGAAAATTCAGCGTTAATGTTATGAAATACTCTCCTGCTCCATGATTTGTAAACCGCTTGAGGACAGGGAACTTGATTTCATTCATCTTAATATCTCCCTAGGGCAACTGAAATAGTGCCTTGCACAGAGAAGGCACTAAATACACATTTGTCAGGCACAAGAATAAATGATGGATTACGTTTTAAATTCTGTATTATTAGCATCTCATTCATGATTTCTCATCTCACTGATATTAACACCTGTCCATCTTTCTATAATGCGCTGTTAAAGTATGACTAGAAAAAAGTTAACCTAGTGGTTGGACTGACTGGATAAAATCAACCAAATAAATGGGAATAAAGATATGTGACACATTCCTTTATTTATACAGCTTATGTGTTGAGGACTTTCTCTTGTAGGAAGGATTGGGAGATAGCTGTGGATGAAAGATTCAAGGCTCCTGGCAGGGTTGTAGGGAGACAGATGATTAGCACGTGTTCAAATAAATAGGATGCGTTTAGCTATAGACAGGTGATATGAAGAAAGTCACACATAGAAATGTGTAACTGCACAGAAGGAAAGGTACACAGTGCTCTGATACAGTAAAACAGATACCTGGGAGAAATTCTTGTGCTGAACTCTGAAAGAGGAGTAAGAATAACCAGGCCGAGGAGACAGTGAGGGCGAGGGTGAGGAGGGGCAGAGCATTTCAGGCAGAGAGAGTAGCCCTGTGGCAGGAAGAAGCACGTCCCTGCCCTCATGGAGCTCACAGCCAATTGGCAGAGGGAATGTTCTCTGTGGCACACTACCATGGCATACTAATTGAGTTGTTTAATTTACATTGTGTTTAATGGTAAAGCTTAGCACACCCCAGCACCAGGAATGGTGTGGAGCCGCCACAGCAGGGACAGGCAGGTGACCCCACAGAGCCTCACATGGCGAAGAGGATGAGGAAGGCAACCATCAAACAGAAGAGCCCCATGGCCTCAGACAGGGCAAAGCCCAGAATGGCGTAGGAGAAGAGGTGCTGCTTGAGAGATGGGTTCCTGGCATATCCAATGATCAAGCTGTCAAACACCGTTCCAATGCCAGCCCCCGAACCAGCCACACCAACTGTGGCTGCCCCAGCACCAATAAACTTGGCTGCTGTGTCAATGTCCTGGGAGACAACACTGGTCTGGAACTCCCGTCGGGCCACCTGGAGTGGGGAGCTTCTGTAGGAAGGCTGTTTAGATGAATTCTCTGGGCTATTCAAGAAGGAGGCAGACACAGGCCTGATTAGACCCCTGGTACAACAGCGGATCAGAGCCGGAGAAATGAGTAATGCCCCGGTGGTCTGCATTTTTTCAGTCTCCCAGCTTTAGCCCTAGGTCTCAGCACTCAGCTTCCCCCCTGTTATTTCTTTAGGAGCTCGTATCTTGCTAAATTAATTTGTTTCTTTTTTTTTTTTAAAAAAAAATGACGGCATGTTCTTGATGTATGCTGTTTTATGGAATAATGCACTTCTAGTGAGAATATCACCTGTCAGTTAAATAATTTATGAGAGTGAGATGGACAGGGCTAACACAGGTATAATGTGTTGATTGCATTCGTCTGTTGATTGACTTAGACTGATAACCTCTGACATGGTCTTAGGAAAATTCAGTGTTTGCAAATTGCAGAGTGAGGCTGCATGGAGGGACATGGGTAATATTTGAGCTGTATATTAATGTAACCCTAGCTGCTACTAAAAGATATTTTGGTGGCTTAACACACATGTTTATTTCTCACTGGATGTTCTAATCAGCAGGTGGCTTTCCTCTAAGCAGTGGTTCAAGCTCCCAGCTTTCTTCCATCTTGTGACTCTACCATCTTCAACATGTCGCTTCCAAGGCCATGCAGAAGAGTAAAGGGTGTGGTAGATTATGCATGACAGGTTTAGTGGTCCGGGCTTGGAAGTGACACTCGTCACTTCTGCCAGAACTCAGTCACATGGCTGCAGCTTACTGCAAGGAAGGTGAGAAGTATAATCTAGTGAAGCGCCCAAGAAGAAGTAGAGACTGCTTTAATGAATAACGAACATCTCTTCCATCCTCTGCAGTTTGATCCTGACACCTCATCTACTTGGGTTCATTTTCTTCTGTGGCCTCTATTTCTTTAAAAACAAAAACAAACCGGCTGGGCATAGTGGCTCATGCCTGTAATCCCAGCACTTTGGGGGGGCCAAGGCAGGCAGATTATGAGGTTAGGAGATCGAGACCATCCTGGCCAATATGGTGAAACCCCATCTCTACTAAAAATACAAAAACTAGCCAGGCGTGGTGGCAGGTGCCTATAGTCCCAGCTGCTCAGGAGACTGAGGCAGGAGCATCACATGAACCCAGGAGGTGGAGGTTGCAGTGAGCCGACATCGTGCCACTGTACTCCAGCCTGGGCGACAGAGCAAGACTCAATCTTAAACAAACAAACAAACCACATTTGGAAAGTATGTTGATATATGGCATAAATAAATGGCACTCCCCAAAATTGCTCATTACTTTTACTTTTCTTGCTTCTGTTCATTCATTCATTCTTTTTTAAAGTTGAGAGTCAGGAATTATTATTATTATTATTTTTTTTGAGACAGAATCTCACTCTATCTCCCAAGCTGGAGGGCAGAGGGGCGCTGCTGGTGCACTGCCACCTCTGCCTCCCGGGTTTGAGTGATTCTCCTGCCTCAGCCTCCTGAGTAGCTGGGATTACAGGCACATGCCACCATCCCTGGCTAATTTTTGTGTTTTTAGTAGAGATGTGGTTTTGCCATGTTGGCCAGGCTGGTCTGGAACTTCTGACCTCAAGTGATCCACCTGCCTCGGCCTCCCAAAGTGCTGGGATTATAGGAGTAAGTCATGGTGCTGGTGAATTTCTATTAATTTTGCTTCTTATTTTATAAGTTTGAATATAACCAACTTACCTTTCATATATTTATAAGTCTAAAAAAGTCAATGGACAATGTATAATTTGGAAACTGCTTATCTCCATTTGGAGGGGAGTTTGGGGGGATATAGTTAGCTTTGGAGAACGTAAGATCATTTGGTTTTAGAGGTCACCTCATCCTGATCTCATGAAAGGAAAGGATGGAATTCAAGTTTTTGTGACCTAAACCCTCAATGTCTGTCTCTATCCTTAGTAACAAATGGGGAAGGGGAACAGTGACAGGAGCCTGTTTTTGAGAGCTGTTAATTTTCTGCTTGATTATACAGGGATATGAAATATGAAAGACATTAGGGGCTATGAGCATGGTTCCCCTAAATGCCCCGCTGCCCACAGGGAACCAGCCCAAGGGCTGGGTTGGCTTCAGATGGCTGGACAGGTGGCTTGGTAATTAAAACCTTTCCCTTCTAACTGCAGGCCTTGTTTTGCCAGGAACCTGAGGTGAAGAAAATGTTCTGGTTATATGCCTCTACCAGCTGCTTTGAAAGCTTCCTCACAGCTGTCCTCAGACCACAGCAGACAGCCACATCTCTACTTTCAAAATCTTGGGGGCTTAGTGTTATTTGAGATGGGATAAGCAGATGTGGGGGTGAGGGAAGATTTCTTCCTGATCTCAAATGTTCTGAGCCTTCTTGAAGAATCAAACAGCACCAAAGAAAGTCTGGAATGCACATGTTTCCTCCTTGTATCAGCTCTATGTGATGGAGGCTATTGTTAGTCTTTGTTTTGTAGGTGAGATCACTGTAGCACAGAGGATTTAAGTAACTTGATCAACATAATGAAGTTGAGTGTCAGAGTCAGGATTCAAATCCAGTCAGCCTTGACCTCATGTTTAGGCTCTGGTAATCTCCACTCTTAAGAATGTTCAAAATTTAACTCTCAGTTTTTCTCCAAATATAGGCTCTACCCTCAGTTTTCCTCCCTCTCAGTTTGTGGCCATTCGTCCTTCCAGTTGCTCAAGCCAAAACCTTGGCATCATGTTTGAGGTGTTTCTTTCACTCATGCCCTAAGTAGAATTTATCAGGAAATCTAATTATTGGTATCTTCAAAGTATGTAAGGAATTTGAGCACATCTCACCATTTCCAATGCTATCACCTTTACCAATGCTGTTATCTCTTGCATAGGTTTCTGTAAGTCTTGACATGGATCTTTCTGCTTCTTGCCTTGCAATCCTCCAGTCTCTTCTCTTCACACCAGTGAGATCCAGGTTGGTAGGCAGCTCTACTCTGCAAGATCCTTCTGGGACTGAAACTCCTTCTACCCTATTGTTCACCTTCCTTTAGGTTTCTGTGCCCATCAGTATGGTCAGAGCTGGCACTGCTCCAAGCCTGCATTTAACCCACAAAAAAGGGAGCAAGAGAGGGAATCCCAGGAAGCAATTTCCTTTTAAGCAAGTGATGTAAATTTTGTGTCCATCATTTCCACTCACATTTTACCAGCAGGTATGTGCTCACATAGCCAACCTAGCTGCAAGGGAGTCTGTGGATGGAATGCTCTATTCTCAAACCCCAACAAACAGAGTCCCAGAGGCCCAAGAGATAGACCAGTTGTGGGGCTTCTCAGGAGCCAGGGTGAGTATGGATGACAGCTGAATCTAGAGAGGAGACAGTGGACATGGGGAGAGTCAGGCAGGCTTGGGATGTATTTTGGAGGTAGAGTTGACCCAGCATAAAATGGGGTGGGCATAGAGACCAAGGAGAAGCAAGAATTGAAGATGATTCCCAGCTATTTTTGCCTCAAGAGACAGGATGGTATCATTTCCTGAGGGAGCAGTCATTGGACATACCTGTCTCTGGAGCAGCCACCATGGACCAGTACATGAGCCCCTCTTAGGGGACCCATCTTATGTCACAGTGGAGGCAACCATGGAGGTTGGAATGGCCCAGAGGTAGAGTCTGAAGAGCAGTTGGCTCTTCAGAGATCAAATGTATTTTGTTTCTGATAGATCAAAATGTACTTTGTCTTAAAATGCTTCAAAGGAAGGGGGACGGGGCAACCTTTTCTTGGTACATTGATAGACCAATGTGCTGGGCAATGTGGAGGCTGAATAAAAAAGACCTGGTACCCTAGAGACCAAACTGCATGTGGTTGAAGCCCCTATTGAGTCTGGATAGCTGTTTTGGGGTTGAGAGAAGGGAGGGGCTAAAGGCACCTACATTTCAACACCTGGGCCAGAGGGGTCATGTTCCCAGCACCTTGATGCTTCTTGACTTTTGAGGGCTTTCAAGTGTTTTTCTGTCTCTTGTTTGCCTGGGTTGGAGCATATAATTGGGAACTGTGTTTGCAATTAGAGTAGTCAAGAGGGTGAGGATCTGGAAGGATGAATAATAACTCACACAGCAGGGCAGGAAGGAAAAGGGGGTTGTGCTAGGCTCAGAGGTTGGACACACCTCACTTTGAGCCTGGGATGAGCCCAGCTAGTGCTATCCCCTGCGAGAATGTGTCTGGAGCACTGTCAGCTTCTAAAAATGTTAGCTAGTTTAAAAACCCTGCTTGGTAGTAGTTTCTAGATCACTCAGGATTGTGCCATGTATTATTTTTTTAACCTCTCTATTTTACAATGGAGAACGCTTAGGTTAGGGAATTAGCACAAAGCACTACCCTAGGTAAGGAGAGCAAGAATTTGAACCCTTGCTCATAAATACTCTGATGTTCAATTCATATCCTGAGTCTTCTGGTGTCTAGAGGGTTAAGTGTTGACAGGACCATGGTAGCTCATGGTGTCCTTTAGGGAAAGAGCTCCAAGGTATGGGGTTGCAGCATGAGTTTGATTCCAACTCCACCTTCAGTGGCTTCTGGGACCCTGAGCCTCCAGTCAGTTGTGTAGCCCCCTGGAGTCTGTTTCTTCTTCCTTAAAATGGGAAGTTACCATTTTCCTACCCATCTTTGGGTATCGTTGGAAAAATTCCATGAGATGGCACCCAGGAAGGCACTTGGACATTGGTCAACCACAGATCTCAAAGAAGTGACCAAAATATGGACATGGGGACCCAAATGCCTGTGCTTAGGTTAAACCTGTGGATGCTATTTGTGAGTAGGGAATTGTGGTTGGATGTTGGAAAACCTAAGTTGTGTTCATGGTAAACAAAAAAGAAAAAAGAAAAAAAAAACTCTAGATAAGTGCTAAGATGAAAAGTGAGGAAAAGTCTTAATTTCCTTCCGAAGATTGATGTGTTACTGAGGGTTGACCAGAACTCCTAGATCAGTGGATTTGTCTACGTAGCCATGATCTCTCTCGATTGTCATCACACCTGGGACACAGGAATCATCATTTTCCTTATACCATAGATGAGGCAAAGGCAGAGCTGGACCTGCGGATGCTGTGGCAGCCTCAGTCTAAGGCCTCCCTCACAGGCTCCCTGGCTAAGGAACCTCTGTCTCACCAGTTCCACCAGCACTGATCAGGCATAGGGTGCTCACCTACTGGCAGCAAGACCC